GATGATACATGATGATGATACATGATGATGATACATGATGATGATACACAATAATGATGATGATACATAATCCATGATGTTTCTGATCCATGATGTTCCTTGGTGATGATACATGATGAAGATAACAATACTTGATGGTAATAAGAATACCTCCAGATTTCCTTTTTCTTCCAGCTTCTGTAACAGTCCTGTTTGCACTGCCCTTGCCACCAGAAACATTGCTTAGGCCTTTATTCAGTCGAGGATCACGACTAACTGCCAAGCTATTGACACTCGAAACTGTACCATCTGCATTAGAAACCACTTCTCCATTACTAGACGTCTTGGAGATATCATTCAAATACTTTGCCAACTCAAATAGCTGTACAGGAAAATCTCTAATACCATCAAAGACAGCTTGATCAAGTGCTAGTGTTGTCAATGAGATGTTATTCTCTACGATATCTTCCAAGTATTTGTGCTGTTCTTTGTCGTAATATTCTGGTGTATCTACACCATYGTGTTCAAACCCTTCTATGTCAGAACCATAGCTAGGTTCAACATTATCATATGTATATCTAGGCTGTCGATCTATTCCATTGTCTTTGTCTTCTGATAGGTAATCTTGTTGCTCTTCATTTTGGTAAACATCAGCATGAAAATCTTTTTCTTCTTCAATATCTGGAGGAAAATCCTTATCATTTTGATAATGTTCATTGAATTCCCTACCAGGTTCAATTTCATTGCCAGAAGCCTCGTAGTATTCACCATATTCGTCATCACTGATTGGTGTTCTTTCTGGCGAATAGCAAGAAGGGCGGTTATTGATATCAACAGGCGAAGGCAGTCTTTGGTCATATTTATCATCTGAAACTTCTCTCTGGTATGCTGAATATGATGATCTCCTATCATCAGTAATAGGAGGTGATTTCTGTCCATAACTACCATCAGATACTCCCCTCTGATCTGGAGAATACTGTGAACGCAATTCATTATGCTCAAAAGATGATCTCTGTCTATAGTTATTATCAGTGACCTTCCCTCGATCTGGAGAAGATGATCGTTTTTCAGCAATAGCAATAGGTGATCTCTTTCTTCTGTCTGAAGAATAGGAACACTTCTCAAGAGATGATCTTTCTTTATAACCATCATCAGAGACACCCCTCCAGCTTGAAGGATACTGTGAATGTCTATCATTATTGATCAGGGGAGAACGTGACCCCTTCCTGTACTCATCCCCAGTARTCCTACTCCTCTTTGGAGAGTACTGTGAGGTTCGATTATTCTTAGCAAGAGGTGATCTATGTCTATAACCATCATCAATGATCTCACTGGTCTTCTCTGGTGAATACTGTGAAGGTTGACCATCATTAGTAATAATTCCCCTCCGTCTGTAATCATGGTCACTCCTCTCTCTCCATTCAGAATAATCATATTGCAAGGGTCCATCACTATTTGTAGGCGATCTTAGCCCATAGTCATCATCAATTGTTCCCCTCCGGTCTGCTGAAAATCTTTCACAGATGTGTAGAGGTGATGCACGCCTATCAATGTTAGAGTAACTATCCGTTCCATCACTAGTGTAATATCTTTCATTAGAACCCAATTCTTCAACAAAATCAATGCTATGAGGTGAGTCAATGTCCTTGTAAGGACTCCTCGAAGCACAAAACAGTCCATGATCTCCTTGATCATCGTATCTGTCAGATGTATGGGGATACCTATGTGGATAGTTATCATTCAAGTCTCTTAAATTATCATAATCATTATCTGTATAAGGTGCACTTTGATTGGATGCCCTAAGGGAGTGTCCATCATTGTGTCTATAATAGTCAGGATTATTWTTTTGATTCCTGTCTTTGTAACTAGTATTATTGTAGTCATAGCCAGTACTTCCGCCAGAACTGCTGTGCCTTCTTTGACAATGACCTGTTRTAAGCAATAAAAACAACATAGTAAGAAATATATTGAAATGTTTACAAATTACTGCAATAACTATTTTTACAATAATAGAGCATATTCTTGCAAATTGATTGGCTGACAGCTATGATCAATAAGAGGACAGACACATAGCATGATGAACCACTCGTGCATAGAGCAAGTGTATGCTTGAAACCATTTTTCTTTTAAACTTTTTCCTTGTTTTTACTATTGATGTTTTTGTATTCATTTTATTGTAAAGAACAAATCATTCATAGATTTCCGTTGTCTGTCCTCTTATTGAACATAGATGACGTCTTGAAATGTTCAAAACTTTACAGTGAAACCACTCGCTGTGCTCATGCTTCCACTTGAGTTTTGAACAACTTCAAGAATTTCCCGTTGAAGCTTGAAATCATTTTTTTCAAGTCTTTCTTTACAGCGTTCGCTTAGATCGCTCATTCACTGTGATGATCAACACATCTATCAAATTTCAAGAAGTCATCTATGTTCAATTTGTGTGGTAACACAAGACACCAAAGTTGTCCTTGTTGGCTATTCACATTAAGACTGTATTTTTTACCCCAGCACTGATTACATACAAGTACTACACCTGCCTTCACCCCGAGATTTCTTGACCACCAGCTCCTCACGTTTGTAACCTGCTCCAGTAACATCATGGTCATCGTCACACCCACGGTAAGGAGATGAAGGGGCTGACCAGGTACCTTGGTCATATGTGCTATCCTGAATATTCTCTTGCTGTGTTGGAACTGTAAATAATATTGAACAATAAGGGTTTTCTTAACTGTTAAGACCAGTAATGACTTTGACAGAAACCTGAACAAGTGGTGGATTGGGCACTAGTACGTGGTGTGCAAACTTGGCAAAACAAAACCAATATAGACCTCTTTAGCTTGAAGTTATGTTAACCAATCAGACAACAAATCATTCTATTGAGAATAAGATTCTTTGTTTGAATTGCATCCATATTCATGTGTCTTCTCATGTACAACCATGTAATGGGAAAGCTAAAGCTCGATTTATTTAACAATTATCCGCCGAAGGCGAAGTGATTATCGGGGAATATTTACCGAGACGCGAGTCTTCAAGAGGCGAGGTAAATATTCCCCAATAATCACTGAGCCTGAGGCAAATAATTGTTTTAGTATAAATACACAGGTGATTATTTCAACAAAAAAAAAAAAGAAGATAAGAGGCATTTTTTCCGGTAACAGCAACAAAGCGGCTGGCCGCCATTTTGGATTTTCCCTCTAGGTGATTATCGTGTGATAGTGTGAGTTTCTTGACCAATCAGCGTGCAAGATTTTCTATAATCACCTGCGTATTTTTACTAAATATATATATATATATCATATATAAACATGGGATCCTTGTACTGGAAGTAAAATATGGCATACCTATATCCTGTGGAAAAATATCAGCACCTTCTTTGGTTGCACATCCCGTTGACCAGTATCCAATGTTAGTATGCAAGAAGCCCTCACTAGGTACAGCAGTTTCTGGTGTACCAGGACTATTGGGCATGGCTGTCATATCCACTTCAGTTGGACTGGAGGGGGGTATAAGTTGGGTGTGGTAGGTGTCTACCCCACAGTCATCTGGATTGGTGTGACCAGGAAATGTATCAGGACATTCTATGTCTGGGAAAAAAAGATACAAAAGTCAAAATATGAATTACGACTTGCCAATAGACTATTTTTAAAGTCTATCAAAGAAGAAGTGGAAGCAAACCAACCTCTTGTGATGGTGACTTCAAGGGACCTGCCATTAATAGGGCTTGTTCTAACAAAGCGATATCTGTTATAGGATGACTCTTCATTAGGTACAGCATATTCAAAGGCCACAGAGTCAAGAGAGGATATGGACATGGCTGAATCACTGTCGATAGATTCATTATCTTGTAGCAATGGTTCTGGGATCTCTCGTGCTGGAATAGAAAACAAAATTAATTGGTTGGTGCTTTTTACAGAGATTTTTTTATTATTATCATCATGTATCATCATCCTGCTTCATCATCATGTATCATCATAATGTACTGTATTATCATCATGCATCATCATCATGTATCATCATCATGTATCATCATCATGTATCACCATGTATCATCCCCATGTAACATGATCATGTATCATCATGTATCATCATCGTGTATCACCATGTATCATCATCATGCATCATGATCATGCATCATCACCATGTATCATCATCATGTATCATCACCATGTATAATCATCATGTATCATCATCATGTATCATCACCATGTATCATCACCATGTATCATCATCCACATGGTTATTGTCATGTACAATCACCATGTATTATCATGCATCATCATGCCACCACCATCTTACCTTGGTCCTGGTCTAGCTTCCTCCGTTTCCTTTCTCTATCCCAGTCTTCATGATCGTCCCTGTAACCTCTGTGTGTATCTATACTGCTGTCTCTCTTAGGGGCAATGTTCACTGTACGCCTGGGGGATGTTCTTTCTGTAGAAAACCTATCATGATGATGGCTCAATTCCAATCTATCACGAGAAGATGGCCTTGTAACGTCTTTTGATCTGGTTGAAGATTTGTAATCTCTATACCCATCAATTCTATGATTCTCTGTACTATATCCATCTGAAAAGGGTAAATTTTTGCATTTAGATATATGTATAATGAAGAATATTAATCTCCAGTGTATCAGGAGTTGCTTGTTTTGTTATTCCAATTTCTGCTTTTATTTTCCAATCTCAGAATTGAGCCCTCAAAACTGGAGTTTTAATGGCTGTCAATATATCGTATGAGAATGAAAAATCAAGCACTGTTACATTAAATATTTATCCTAACAGGCTCTACAACAACCTCTGGCCTGAAGTAAGTAAGGACATGACTAGCTAACAGATCAAAATTAATTGTAATTCAGCGTGTTGGGTTTTGCCGAAAAGAAAAACTCTGAAATCAAGTCTGACATACAACAAACTCTGCTTGCTCACATATRCAGTAGGCAAGTCGTTAGAGACCTTTAGCATTGTGTTTACTGCTAACCACTGACTGCTAGGAATCAGGCCCTGAAAAATGCTCACATACACAGAGAGAGAAACACTCGGCATMAATGAAATTCAATATGGCCACTCTTCCATCAACAACTTCGTTATGACACCTTGATAAATGTCAAAAGTTTGACAGAAAACACCTGACAATGAACTGCAGTTTGAGGTTTGCAGGGCTTGCAAGAAGGTTATGCTAAGGTCTCTGATAACTAAAGTTTGTCACTATTTACCTGAATCCAAGGGCAGTTCTGTATCAGATATATCACTAGTCATATCATCCCATTTATTGTCGTTTACTGTAGTATTACTCCTTTTTATAGTAACTTTTCGTTTCCTAGACGGTGAGATTTTCTTTCTTTCCTCATCAGACCTTTCTTTTCTGGGTGTAGTCTCCCTGGATCGGCTCTTGGATCTCCTCTCAGAACTGCTTGTACCCCTATGATCATGGTGATACCTATGAAGGTCAAATTTTGACAATGGAGATGGTTGGTGACCTCTTTTCTGACATGATAATAAATTATCCAACAAATCCAGTCCACTTTTAAGTTCAGGTGTGCTAGGACTCAAACATGCCGAATCTGACTTCAATGATCGTTTACCAGGTGTTTCAACACTTGTGTTTCTGTCGAGCAAAAGCTTTTTCATTGGCTGTTTATGACAGACATTCCTCTCATCCACATTTCTTCCATCTCTTTCATTCACATACCTATTCTCTGTCGCAGAACCTCTACYTTTTACAGCATAATCTTTAGCTTTATTTTCTTTCTTGGAATGTTCTTTTGGCTTCRTAGAACTATATTCAGGTTCATCAAGTCTTTCCTTTGGCAATATTTTATCTTCCCTTATGTGTTTCAACGCTGTATTCTCTACCCCAACATTTCTAGATATTCCAGATTGATAATCAGTACAATGTTCATCATTGTTGTTGTCTTCCTCGGATGAAGTGTCCTTGGACACATCCCTATTTCGGAGCAGAATATTCTTGATTTCTCTGATGGCCCTAGAACTGTTTTTCTCTGCTTCTGTTAATGGTCTATTAATAACAAYATTATCATAATCTGGAATATCAGGGATGTCTGAGTCAAGCATATCATTCTGCGCAGCACATTTCTCAAGGGAAATATCATTATTGCTGTCTGGTGGAGTTTGAGCTATTTTTGGAGAATTTTCTTTTGAATATGGTCTTCTTGTTTGTAGTTCTTGACCATGCTCCCTGTTTTCACTCCTTGTGGTATAAGACTTGCTGTTGCTTATTGAGACAGGTGTAATGATAGTTCTAGTGGGTGTGTTGTCAGAGGAAGAGATAGTTATTGGTGAGCTTGGGTGCATTTGATTCCAAGCTGTGACACTCTGTGTGGAAATGCTGCTGTCTTTCAAGTACGAAGCACTGGTATTAATAGACTGATTCATAAAAGAAATCTTTTCCCTCATCAACTGAAAGACAGGGCTTCCTGTAGGTTCAAGTCCGGGTATCAACATTTCCTGTCTCTTAACAGCAGGGGGAGAAACAGGAGAAGTAACCAGAGGGACGTCAGTGGCAGCTGTCGATGGCTCAGAAGTGGATGTCTTGAAGACAGGTGTATTCCCAACTACACTAGATGACRAAAGGGTAGTACTTAAAAATGGACTAAAGGGAGGGGGAGGTGGTGGGGGTATTGGTGGAGGTGGTATACTAGGCAAAAAACCAGGTTTATCAGAGTTAATATCTTGGGATGAAGAAGAAGATGATCTTTTTTGTAATCTTGGATCCACTAGTGCAGAAGATCTTGTTGAAACAGTAGTCTTACATTGTTTGTCATGGTGCTGAAACTCTTTGATTAGTTTCTGAACAGTTATGAAGTCTATTTGATTTTCCATGTTTGCAGATTGCAAGCTAGAGTCAGCAGTATTGTCCACAGACACCACCCCAATGCCTTCCTTCCTCCCTAAATCTTGGTTAACATTAGTAGATGGTGTACTTGGAGCTTGTTTAACATTTGTACCCTGATCTACATTTGAAGAATCCTTTGAAGAAGGTAAATTCTCTTTCTCATTTCTACTTGTTTTCATTGAATCATCATTACGCAATTCTGTTTCTAATGATAAGCTCTGCTTGTCTAAACTCTTTGGGTTAACCCACTTGTATTTAGATTTCCTGGTCGGAGTATYGCTGCTTGTAGGGGAATCCTGTATTTGCATATTTGAACCCCTTTCTTTTCTTACAGAGCTAAAGAAACTGTCGACCCACTTCCGAGCCTCCTTCTGAAACTGTACACGCTTTTCATGGGAAGCTCCTTCTGGTGGAAGGGAGAACCCCACATCTGTACTCTTTCTCCTTGCTTCAAGAACACTTTTTGGTTGATCAGTGGTATTTTCCCCATCTTCTAGAGATGTCCTCCTGGTCATAAGTGGTGTCAACGTATCTTGCTTTGTTTTTCTGTGTAGTTTTTCCTGCTTGTCTTCATATTTTTTCATGAAGATTTCTTGGACTTGACTTTCTATTATGGCTTCATTTAAGGAAGTGTCATCGATTCCAGCATCTTGCTCTTGTTCATGCTCAGTTGGCACTGTATTTTCTAAAAGATAAACAAGTTATAACATGTGTTGTGGGAGTGTTTGCTTACCACATTATTCTTAAACACAGGATCATAAGACGCTTAGTTTCAGTTCCATAATAAAGAAAAAACCCCTCCCCCACTCCTTTTTTTTATCCCCTGTGTTAATGAATTTTTTTTTTCTGATTTTCTACAAAGAGATACTCCTGCTGCAGTACCACTTCTAAATCCCCATTTCAAACATTGCAAATGACAGGGCCTTGTTTTACAGAATCCTCTCATGTAGGGAATGGTTCCCCCACCCTCTGGGACYATAATACATACTCAATAAGCAGCCCAGTGGAGCAAAGACCCTTTAATGATACTTTAATGATACAAATTCTCTTGGCTTAACATGCTCTAACCTTGTGCATTAGGAAGTCGTCTGACATGCCTGAGTTGAAGCAATGCATGAAGAGCCAATGGGCTTTTTCTATCTGTTATACCTTTGAAAATTAAAAGACTGTTAACACAAAATGTTTCTATTCTATTTTATTCAATGAAATGTATTGCTGGGTTTCAACAGCTTATAAAAGCTTTAGAACATCATTATCTGCTGGTGGTCAAACAAGGACCACCATGTGCAGTCAAGCAGAAAGAATTCTATTGAAAACTTGGGATTCAGCCGATGAACACTTTGCAGGACACAGGAAATGATGTCTAGTGAGACCTAGCAATTAAAGGTTCTTACCAATGTCGTTTGTCAGCTTTGATGTTGGAATCAGATACAAGTAAACTGGACCTTTAAAATACTGGTACTCTATAACCCCAGCCTAAAATATCAATCAGTTAACTTCATTAGAACATACAACTTACTTGTAAAATAACACAAAAGTGATTTAGGAACCATTCAAATCTTATTGGGGGCCAGGATCGGTGCAGTGGGATTTGCTTGGTAACTCAAGCAAGAAARCTGCCCCCTCTATGTTGTTGCAAAGAAAAATGGCCATCCCTTGTTTACCATTGGTTATAAAAAAGTGCTGGAGCAACTCATACTTTTTTGAGTGCCCCCCTCCTCTTGAGAAAAAACCTCCCACAAATGGCTCCTTTTTCAATAAAACGTGACTCCACATAATTGGAATTGCACAATCATGGTGGAACAAAATCCCAGTGTCAAAACAAAGGGTTATAAGCTTTATAAAGTTTTGACATGCTCCATGTAGTATGTAATAGGAAGTGATAAAAGCAGAAAATAATAGGCAGATGATATGAGCATCATACTCATCAGGGTGTATGGTGATGCTACTATGTAAGAAATGTAATTCATCCTTTGTCTTCTGAGGTTCGAATTGATAAAATACAGTAAATGTATGAACACATCAAGTCCAACCTCAAATAGGAGCCATTGTTTGGTGGTCACTCAAGCAAATTCAAGAAAGATCTATGAAAGGTCTATTCAGAAAACTATTACCAAGAYGAGTAGGGCATGTGGACCTCGCTTACCATTTCATTGTTGACAAAATGTGAAACCAATGCATCAAATTTATCCTGGATTTGATTAACTACTCTAACTTCATAATATATGAATTTTCTACCATGGTTCAGTTCTAAAAAGGAGAAAAAAGAATATATAATGAAGGTGGATTCTGATATACAGGTAAAGGTCACAAAATAACACCCTATAATTGTATGGTTGCATAATGGGGTTGTGTGGCACTGCACATGGTGCTGTTATGGTAATGAATAGTCATCATTTGAATCAATCACAGCATGTTAAATCATCCCTCAGCCATGATGGTCATGTCCAGTCACAATATTGCAACAGAAAGGCTTGTGTGACACTGTGCACAGTGCTGTGATGGTAATGAATTTACATCATGTGAACTAATCAAGTCATGTTAAATCATTGCTCAGCCAATGAAAATACCCATACATGGTACCATGATGGTCATGTCCAGTCAGAATTGCACATGGCACTGTCATGTTACTGAATGGATAACATCATTTAAACCAATCACAGCAAATTGAATCATTGCTCAGCCAATGAAAATACCCATACATGGTACCAGGATGGTCATGTCCAGTCACAATTGCACATGGCACCGTCATGTTACTGAATGGATAACATCATTTAAACCAATCACAGCAAATTGAATCATTCGTCAGCCAATGAAAATGCTCAAACATCATAACATGATGATCACATCATGGCAGTCCATACCATGGATTTTCAGTCATAATGAATTTCCTCTACATAATACCTACCTATGCAGACCCCTGATGACGCTGGCTTTCCATTTCTAAAGACTGGACACTTAAGCAAAGATCTCAAGTCATCATGAGAAACCTTATGACTAATGTTGAAATAATCTCTGTAACCAAACACAGAACAAGATTATTTACAAGCTTGGGTTTATCTTCCATACAAAGCAGCCGTCACAGTTAATAGTCTGTTATTAGTCATAGCTAATAGTAATAGTAATAGTAGTGTTTAGTCATAACTAATAATCTGTCTTTGGGAGGCTCATTATGGATGTTAAGGTCCCTATTGTATGGGGTGAGACAAAAATTTCACTGTAACGTGAAATAAAATTGGGCACCCACAAAAAGTCCCAACAGTATCATTGCTGCAAAGTATAGGAAATAGACTGGAGGCTTAACTGTGTTTTCATGATACCCTTTACTAGGACATGTGTACGTATCAAAAAGGGAACACCTGAGTAACCTGAAACTACATGTAATATGATTATACTGAAGATCACATTTATCATTACACCAACAGTTTTATCCAAGATATGTTTTTCACTCATACACTTACACATTAACAGGGAGAGGATGCTTTTTCCGTGAGTAGCTAAGGAAATCAACATAAGCAAACTGCTTTTTATTGATAGCAAGTACACCGGACCATGAAACATTTGCATTTGAGATGAGGTCATCTTTACTTTCTGAAAAACAAAATCAATTAACTAAATGAAATACATTATAAATAATAATATTTGGAATATATTCAAAGGCCAAGGAGTGCCTTGGAGAAGCATAGCAATGAGAACGCTCTCCTCTCACCATGGCTCCCTCATTCCCTCCCTTCCACAGCCCCGATATAAGTACACATGTTACATGATATAAAGTAATGTACCTATTCTATTAGGAGAATACAGAATATTCTCATCTGCACTCGAAAGAGAATCATGTCCAGTGACTACAGCTTTCTTGCCCTTGAAGGAAAAAATAATTCATCAGAAAACTGCTTTCACACTATTTTGTTTACCAAATACTATATAGCAATATAGCACATAGTTTACAAACTAAATTTACTTTGCTATGTGGAAGTAAATTCTTTTGATAATCATTATAAGTCTGACGACAGGACAAAATCAAATGCATTTTTTCTCAAACAAAATCTGGGCTGACCTACATGGGTAATTTGAGTAATTTGGTTGGGTTTGGTAATAGGTMATGGGAAAAACTACATAACACTCAGTTGATGTATATAATGTATTCAGCAAATCTATTGTATTCTATTGTCTATCTATTACATTAGGTGTGATTCATTGTATTTTTTTATGAATACATTACATTAACTGCTTGCTACATAGGCTCTCCTAATAGGTCATTGCTAACTTACACATCAAACTGGAATTCTAGGTGTCCAGGATGAATGTACAACTATAATAGCAAAAGCATGCTACTGAATAAACAACTGGAGTTAAACATTGACCTGTTGTTTTACCTCTGATTTCTCATCTAGTTTGCTTTGCTGTTGCTCTGGTTTGAGGATAGTGAAGGTCAACACTGCATACGGCAACACTTGTCTTGGTTGCTTGACATGAAAGTCATCACTGTTCTCATCAATCTCATAAAAATATAACTGAAAGGGGGAAAACAACTTCTATCAATATTAGTGCCGCATGAAGAAATTTCAATTATATATTCCTAGTCTTTGTTTAAGTTTTCGTTCCGGTCACGCTTCTAGTTTTGTCACCTTAGTTTCTTAGTTTCTTTGTTTCGTATTCAAATTTATAGTACTTTTGCTTAGCTTTTTTTCATTAGTGTTCAGTTCTCAGTTTGATTTATATCAGACAAGGCCATATTGTTCTTTATTTTCTGTGCCTCATTTTGTTCTGTAAGTATATTTTTAGGCAATCTTTTATATTTTCTGCTATTTTGTAGTCTTATTTAGTGCTTCAACAGTTTGTATTTATTTTGTTTTGTAGAAACCATTACCCTTATCGTTATAACCGTTTTCATTATGCTGTCAGTCAAGGACATAAATAAATTCAATGTAAGGGTATGAACTGAGAGTACAATTAACCATATGTAGCACTTGTACAAATTGTACAAATAGTAAAGGACTTGGGATGTTTATGTAGCCCAAATATATTAAATTTATAACTAGATTGCTCCTCAACATTTTGACACAAATGGTTTAGATCCAAATGTTTAGTTCAAATGGATTTAGGAATCAATTCAGGACAGCTTTGCCATGATGGTAGGTATGAGACACTGCTATGCAGCTAGTGCTCAACTGCTACACCATTCTTGATTCTCTAAACTTGCAAGCAACATTCTAAAGTAGTTCTTAGTATTAAGACATGAACCAAACAAGTGAGATGCTGTGTCTGAGCAGCAGACACACCCAGGTTTTCCTATGCTGCAGAAGCATCAATATTATTCTAATCTTTTGTCTTTTGCCCCTCAAAATGAAAGTGGCCTGCATTAATCAATCTCTAAATGACAAGAGCAAAAAAAACTTGGAAATAGAGATAAAATGAAAAGATTTAATACATAATACAGTATACCTGTGAGGATTCAAAAACATCAGAATATGATGCCTTGGAAGACAAAGTTGTTAGTGATTTGGACACATGACAGTCGTGGTGAGGGGTAGGCTGTAGTTCTGGGTTGTTGCCACCAATGAATCTCACTTTTCCCTGTAATGTAAGGAAAAAATACAAAAACATTTTAATCCACATTGTAAAAAAATAATACAGTTACTAGACCATCAGCTTGCAATAATAGCCAAACTGTAAAACAAAATTCTGTTAATTTGAAATTAAATATAGTATCAATCAAACATGTGTCTGTGACATTTACATTATTGGTGCCTGATTAATGAGGAAACTTTCATGTCCCTTTGGTGGCCGTATTAACCAGGTTGTATTACTTATTTTACTAGAATGATTTTTGAAAGTAACCCACCTTAACAACACGAAAAACTAAGAGATATCCTGAGTCTTCAGTTGTTAATGGTCTTTTATAAATAACATCTGAATACCGACATAAGTATACACCTGCGGCAAAGAGGAATACAATAGCAGTTAGTAGGGGGTCACGTACTGATTTACTTTGCAAAAGCAATGATGTAGAAAACTGTTATCCTACCTAATTTTGGATCTCCAAGAGACGTCAATGAAGAATTACCAGTGTGAAGTCCATGCTCACAAACTGACTTGACCTAAAGCAAGTGATTAGAACATGTTTAGGATTGAAATTTATTACATTTATCTAATACTTTGATACATCGCAACAATTGACAAAACAATGTAATTTTGAAAAGAATCAGATTTAAATTTAAAAACATTCAGTCTGCAAATAGCTTTAGGAACAAAAAAAACTATTAATATACCGTAGCAGAATATTACTTTTATTGTTATTTTTACCAGTATATTTAACTATTAGCGATTATCGGAGAATATTTACCAAGCTACAAGTCTTTGAGTAGCAAGGTAAATATTCACCATACTCACTGAGCCTGAGGGGAATAATATTGGTTTAGTATAATTTTAGACTTGAATAATAGAGATAGACCAAATTCATATTAAGAATTTTTTTTGATATTACTTTCGTTCTGGATAACTTTGGAAAACCTCATAATCAATGCTTGAGCAGTGATATCTCAGAATCACTGATCGCTCAACCAATCACAGTACGCAAAACTCTATATCCTCTGTCTTCATAATAGAGACACATAATGCGTCTGGACGAAGTTGGGCAAACTTAGTGCATCCTTTCTTGCATCATCAGTTATTAAGATGGGAAGATATAACTTGCTAAAAACTAGTGTGTTATTAAGATGGGCAGAGGTCACATTATGCATTCAGATGCACTACTTGATTTAATGCATCTTGAACTACAAATTATTTGAATTTTATCTTGCCGTCTAAAAGTTCAATGGTCTGACAGTATAAAGACGAGCAACAGACGAAGAAACTACAAACTCTAGAATTTTCACCTAATCCAATATGCTAGTGCTAGACCCATTTCACATGCTCTCGACAGGCATCAGATAGTCAAATTTGTCTTATATTTTGCCTCTCTCTACACTAGATGCATAAAGTAATAAATGCATTATGCACCTCGGTGCATTTTTCATGTCTAGTGTAAAGAGGGCCATTCAAGTCTAAAATTATACTAATTTGTATTATTTTAAGACCATTGGTAATAACAAGTTACATGTGATCAAGACAGCTGCGTTCAAAATATAAACATCGTGGACATAGTAATTATCCTTTCAAAGGCATCGTTTGTATTTTAGTAGAAAAATCAAAAATAAACCTGAAGTACGTGTACGAAGAAAAATCTTACCTCAGTTCTCGACGTGGTGAAAAGAAAAGCAAATCTATCTTCAAGTTCGCGATTTGTTCGCATAGTTTCAAGTCGTAAAGCTTGCTTTTTATCGCCATACTAAAACAAAAACATTCATAAATAAATCAGAACACGGCAAGCATTCTTGTATCAAGTTCTGTCTTAATAAATTGTACAGTTTATACAAGTTAGCGAGCAAGCAAGAATATATTTTTATTTTTTAAGTTTACTTACCTTACGAGCAAGTTTGTCATTGTTCACTAATTCAACTCTCTCAAATTTATACGAAGACCAAAAACTAGGGTCTCGTAAAGAGAGCTGGACAGAACGAAGAAGTTCTTTGGTCTCTCTTGAGTCAAAACGGTGAGACTGAAGCAGTTCTAATAAAGGAAAAGAGTAGTACAATAACAATCAATTGAGCAAGCAGCTTCAAACAATGTCAGTAACGTGACATCGTAGAAGACCCAAGTTCCTGTCGTCACAAAGTCAAATACAAACCTTTTGCTTGCTTTTTCTTTCTCGGGATGACAAACTCCTTCTTTTTGGTACTCAGTATGTTGTTATTTATTCTATCTTTTAAGCTTGAGGTCTGCTTTGCTTGATGTAACGACTGGGACTCGTCCACGTCGTCTTTGTGTTTTGACCCGACATTTTGAGCTTCATGACAAAATATTTGGACCTTTCTGTCCGTTTTTTTCCGAGGCTTCGGATGTTTTGCGACAGACATTATTCTTGCAAGACTTCAGCATGTTTAGGAGAGCTAAAAAGTTGCAAAACAAGGCTGTTTGAGCCGTATTTTTTTATTTGACTTACGACCACATGCTTCAATCATGGTCAGTGTGCTTTACATATGGCAAACGCGCGAAAATCCATGACGTCAATCAATCAATTTCTCCAGGGAGTAAAGGTACAAACCTTTTTTAATAACGACAAAAAATCAAAAAATTACTTTATCAAAACTATCCCAATTTGCACTTGTAATAAATATCATATTCAAATTGTCATTAAGACACTAAATAACTTAGTTTGATGCTCTTTCTGTAGCTTAAATTGGTATATCAAAATTTTTGCATCTACCCGACCACTGACAGTATGTTGCGGTTTCTTATTGCTTCGGAATGTCTACTAACCGTGCAAACTGCTATTTAAGCATATTTTCCTATGGAATTTTTAATCGACATAAATCAAAAGCAGAACTTATTATTTGAATAAGAAATTACATGTATGAAACTTGGAAGCCCCAAATATTCTAAATTCGAACAATATCCGATAGGTCACCGAGTATTTCTGGCTTTCTTCCGTGGTTTTTCGCATACTAAACCCATAGTTAACCGGTTGCTTGTCGAACCTTCACGATAATGTACGTACAGGAATATTTCATCTGAATGAAAGAGAAAAACATATCAAGGCTTAGTTTTTTCAAAAATTTATTTAACACGTCCCTGTTTTCTCCACTTCATAAAAATACAATATAGTGAAAAAAATATTGCCATTTGCAATTAATGTATGTGTCTTCAGGAAATGCTTTTCTAGACACCTGCGTAGCCTGGCTACGCAGGCTACTTTTATAGTATCCTTAACAACCTGTTTCTATAGCAACAGTGGCCTTCCGAGCAGCCTTAGTATTCTAGAGGATTCACCATTTTCCATACATTGGTTCACTGGTCAAACACAAAGTTATAAAAGGAATTTAAAAAAGGTTTGAGTGAGATTAATAATTGTACATTTCCTGAAATTAACAAATTCCAGCAATGAGAGTGATCAATACCATGACAACTATCCCAACAATTTGCAAACATTTCAGGGATCATTGTCRTGACTACAGTCACCATGACAACCATCACTGACCAACAAGACTATTTGCAAGAATGTAAATGATCATCACCATGGCTACCATCACTAGGACTACAGTCACTCATCATCTTATTTCGAAAACCCTTAGAGATTATTGCCATGACTGCCATCACCACAACAACTAGTATTCAGACAATCAAAACTGTTTATAAAAATTTATAAATGAAAGTTAAAAATTCCCTTCAATTAAAAACAATATTGGAAATATAAACTATTCTGTACTGATGTTATTTTCAATTTTCTTTACTTTCAAGTCATTCTATTTTACTGATTATTCATTTCATTCCTGATTTTCTCGAAGTTGTACATGTTTCTATGTAAGGATATTCTGCATATGATACACAAATTTGAACTGGAAATACTCAACTCCCATCATCACAAGAAAATGAAATGTTTTTTTTTTCTGAATTTTTGCATCAAGTTATCATCTTCATACCCTGGGTTCCAGGGTTCCAGAGGCTTGAGGAGGTTGAGGAGGAATGGGGAGGAGAGAGGGGAGGGGAAGGAGCAGGTAGCACAAGTTGCCAGCCTCAATTTCGTGAGCACAGAATCTGTACTCGTCATTTCATTGGACCTTATTCAGATCGAAAAGAAACTGTACTTCGATTGGTCAATAGCTTTAGCTTTCTACCCTGGGTTCCAGAGGCTTGATGAGGTATGACGGATGAGAGAACAAGACTCATTTTATCCATTTTACCTTGCATAATATTATGATTGACATTCCTAACACCTTTAAACTTGAGGAATGTGTAAAACAACACCGTTCATTGCATGAGAATGATGAAAATAAGATAAACTTTTTTGTCCAGTCCAAAACAAATTTCTTTCCAAAGTAACCCAGCTTACCAGGGGTTATACACACACACAGGTTTAAGATGCCCTAATAATTTAATCTGATGAAAGAAGTTTCGTATCTCCAGTGATATTAAAAATTTGAAATTCAGCTTTATAAATTGAATTTCTCAGAAAATCATTGAATATATGTACATAGAATTCAATTCCTTTTTCTCAAAAGACACTACAGTAGATCCTATTAATTTCTTTCTTTAGATACAGGACAGGGGCGGATCCAGCCAAAAAATATAAGGGGAGCTTGACCGAATTTTTCTTGACTCGCAAGCAACTTCTTATTTTACTGTAAATCCATTACTTTGATAAATAAGCACCGCTTTGCTCCTCCCTGGATCCGCCCCTGGCGGACACTATAGAAAACTATACTTATAATACTACTAAATGTAGATGAGGTTCAACGTCTGATCATGCAACGATCATGATCCTTGGTGTTATCCTGATGCAGGGTAGTAAGTGTTAATAGGGGAATCTTCCTATTTGGTGGTTATACCAGCAGCTACACTATCGTTTTGTTGAGTTTCCTGTGCCAGAAGTGTAAAAAGGACTGGGAATACTGGCATACCAAACTTGTTACCAGATCCTGCCTGGTGTTTTGTTCAGTGGTCTTATGCCCAATCTTATGCGCCTGCACAGTTCTATCTTTTCCCAGATTTGTCGGATTCGCAAGATGAGGTGCTACATGCACGAGTCAGAGCATATATTATACGTATGTCTTATAGTTCTCTGATGAAGTAACTACGGATTGAAGTGAAGTGAGCCATCGTCGCTTCTCATCATCGTTGGATGCCTGGAGTGTGTGTGACTGACCATTCTCGCGGTCCGTACTGGAAACACGTAAGACGTTCTTCGCTGTAACATTAAGGGGACAAGATTATAAGCAACACAATAATCATAAGTTTCCTCTACATGCAGCATACTGTATTGAGGTTCGTTTCCCGCCAGGCAAATAAAATCTAGTCTACTTCGCATTTWAAAAAAGGTAAAGTACCTATATTTAACGTCGGTAGTTCCTTCAGTTGAAATTCAACTGTTATCAATGGAAGCCGACGGTGCGCACTTGGAGATCCTAAGGATCGAACCGTGGACCTCAAGCTCTGAAGGTCGCGCACTAAACAACTGAGCTACGCCTGCTCCTTTTACAACACCGTTTGAAGCTAACCTTCATTAAACTTTACGACTGCGCATGTGGAAAAACAAACGAACAAAAAAAAAACTACTATCTCTATGAAACGACTTTGAGAAACGTTCTCTACGTTCAAAATCAGCGTGATGATCTCATGCGTGGTATTTAGACGACTATCCCTTGTCGGAACAGAATCCCACTGTCTCGCTGCCCCCTTTTGAGAGACATTCGTTAGTACTAGCCTCCCTTTGCGGGCATCTCTCTTTGCTTTGGAGGTCCTACTTTGTTTGTTTGGCGGGCTACTTGTGGTGACCAAGGGAGACTTCCCATCCTCTACCCAAACTCCCCTCCCTTCTTTTTTTTAACAGGAATCCTAACCGCCGTCTGCGATGGAGAAAACCTTAGTGCAATATTTTAGTGATTCGTTTACTTACAAGTTGCTAATCTTGATAATGCAGTTTTAAATGATCCACCGAGTCTGACATCCCCGTCTGGTAAATCTTCTACGAACAAGTCTTTCGTGGGAATTGGCTGTGATAGAGGAGAAGACATACCTTATGGTGAGATGGTCATGCTCCTAACAGCATACCACAGGGTGACAGTGATATTGAAAGGCGTTTCTCCAAACATAGATGTAATAGAGCAATTTTCGTATGACTGTGAAAATTACGACGGTGCCGTATGCGTGCCTTGCCGCAACTGTGATGTCTTCCAGAATTTTGATTGGCTGATGTTTTTCGCGCACAATGTGATTGGTGTGGCAGTGTCGTGACCTTGACGTTACCGAGTGTCCGCGCCGTGTTCATGACATGTTTCGGGCATTTGATTGGATGAAGTAAATTCTCGCGCAGTGTGATAGGTCTGGCGTGTGCCTAGCCGTGTCATGACCGTGTTCGTGCCGTGAGCGTTTCGCAGTCATACGAGAACTGCTCTGTGAAGACAAGTGCTTTTAAAGATCTGGGCCCGGTTGTATGAAGCCTGGATAGCGCTATCCGACGGATAAATCCAGTGGATAAATTTATTGGATAACAGCATCGACTTATCCACTGGATAAGGATTTATCCGCCGGTTGTACGAAGCCTGGATAGCGCTAT